GTAGGAGGTAAGATTGAAATTTTATAATAATTCAGTTTGGGTATTAGCAATATTTTAAGAGTATATATTAAAAAAAAAAAAAATAGTATAGTATATATTCCATCTGTTCCAATTTAGTTGTCCATATTTCTTTTTGGATTGTCCCAAAATACTTATCCACTTATTAAATTTAAATAAGATATTTCATATCTTTTCATAAAATATGCTTAAAATTATAAAATAAAAAAAATCAAACTTGAATATATATATATATATATATTTAAATTTGAAAAGGTAGCTTTGTAATTTTTAAAGGGGACAATACAATAATTACATGTCTTCTTAAAAAATTTACTCTCTAAAAAAGATATCTAATATGAGATCTAATACGGGATAGAGGGAGTAAGTAATTTTTTTTTTTTTCCTCCCCTAACTTACACATAGGTCTGTCCTTGACTAGTTATGTTGCCATTGCAATCCTCCCCAAAATGCGTTAGTGGTGACATCAATATAATAATAAGAACTTGTGTACAAAATTTCTGTTTTCATTAGATTATCTCGAAACGTTGTGTGTATATATATATATTTTTGTGTAAATCTCATGTGTCATGATTGATTTATACAAAAATTTTGAATTATTTAATTTTAGTTCTAACGGTTGCTTTATACCTTTTGTGTAAAAATATATCTTCTAATAACAACCAATCATGTGTCATGCTAGGATCTCACATAATTTTTACAAACCTACTTAATATATGGTTGATTCTTTAATAAAATAAAAAAGAGGGAGGAAAAATAAAATATGTTGTTGTGGTTGTCTAAAAAAGTTAGGTAAAATACACAACAATATTATACATTGGTAATGTGTGAGTATATCAGACTATTTACGTATCATATATGACCATGTATAATTTACATAAAAGAATATTTTAATTTTTAAGGGACCTCTTAAAGTTTCAAGCAAATAAACAAATTATTGTCCAAATTAACTTTGGAATTATATGTGGAATTTGAAGTGACATTGAATTGCAAGCAATTAAGTCCACTTTTCCTTCATCCATAATGCCACACCTTACCATCCGTACCTTATCAGGCGCTTAATTAACTAGATGATTAAGAAATGCTCGGAATCAAGTATCATTTGAAAACGTTTATCCTGAACTGAAAATATAAAAATATTTTCAAAATTATAAGAGAAGAGTTTTTCAAAACAAATTATTTAGTTCAACTTTCAAAAGCAATTATCAGAAAACTGTTAACTAAAAGAACTTTTGAAATGTTTTTTATTTTATTTTTATTTGATAAAAAAGAACTGCTTTAAAATAATAACCAAACAGATCAACCTATAATCTTTTGTTATTAATCTTGCTTGCCACAATTAAAGACATTTAATTTTTTTTTGGCCGCTCTAACTCCCTTTATTAATAAAAGAGTTAAGTGCAAAAAACTCACTCGTTATATAAAAAATGTGCAAGAAACTACCTTATTAAAAAAAAAAAAAAAAAAAGAAAAGAAAAAAAAAGAAAAGAAAAGAACGGAGTAAATTGCCCCTAAATCATCAATGTTGACCAAATATTTTATTAAAATTCCAAAATACCCTTAGTGCTGATGTAAGAAATAAAAAACCCATTTTCTTTCCATTCTCTCTCCTCAGATTCTCTCTCCACTCTCTTTCTCCACTCACTCTCTCTCTCTCAACACATAGCTCGATCATCGACATTTTCACGAGGCTCCGGCGATAATGATTTATGCCAAAATATCACTATTTTACCAAAAATTATGAGATCCAATAGTTAGCAAATTGCTTGAAAAGTAATGCAAAATTTCTTACGTATGTAAATATGTATATATATAATGAACCCAACTCCAACCCATGAGCTTTTGAATGGCGACCAAACATACAAAATATATTTATATACATACACGTATACATATAAGTATTAGATACAAATACATTGATATATCTGAAAACTGGATGGACTTATTTCAATTTCTATAGAAACTAAATATATACAATGTAACAATTCAATATTCAGTTGCCACTGGAAAAGAAATTCTTCTTCTTAAACCAATGCTTAAACTTTCACATTTTTAAATGTTGTCCAATGGCCAAACCCACCTTGTAATTAACCAACCATAGAATTAGACAAGAATTCACAAATAACACTTACAGAAATTTGTCTTCATCTACATGATCTATCTTCATTTACAAAATTTATTTCATAAATTAACCACACAGTCCCTTGAGTTTCAAATGACCCATATACAACACTTGCTTTACCAAACCCATTCAACACTTATGCTCAATATTATATTATATTATATATATATACATATACTGTTATATACATTAAACTCAAAATCTACCATCATTAAACCAAAAATGTATAGAGAGGGTGCATCGGTGGCTGCCGGTGGTTGTGGTGACGGGTAAACATAGAGCGCAGCGATCAAGAGAAGGGTTGGTTTTTGGTGGTGCCATGGCGGGCGGTGGTTGAGGTGATGCTCGATCTCGTCGGCTGGTTCTGATGATGGGCAATGATAGGGCAGGTTTAAAATTACTTATATGTCCACGTTTTTTTATGATGTGGCAGGTTTTATTGGGTTTTTATTTTTTTTTGGGTCCAGAAAAAGATGGAGACAATTTTATCAAGGGAAAATTACATATAAATGGAGTCAAAGTTCCATATTTACTTAGAGGCTGAGTCAAAGTTCCATATTTCTCTAAAATGGATTACTGAGGTGGCACATGGTTTTTTACTGTTTAGAAATTGTGGTGTCTAAAATACCCTTCCGCGATGGTACTACTTTTTCTTCGAAGGTACTACTTTTTTGAACTGAAGGTATTACTTTTTGGCGTCCAGGTACCATGTTTTTTAAACACCCGCGAAGGTACTACTTTTTCTCCGAAGGTACTACTTTTTTGAACTGAAGGTACTACTTTTTTGAACTGAAGGTACTACTTTTTTTGTTAGGGAAGGGCATTTTAGGCACCACAATTTTTTAAACAGTAAAAAATCATGTGCCACCTCAGCAATCCATTTTAGAGAAATATGGAATTTTGACTCATTCTCTAAGTAAATATGAAACTTTGACTCCATTTATATGTAATTTTCCCTTTTATCAATCCCTGTAAACATTTCCGCTATGTTATATGTTATTTTATTTTATTATAAGGGTACATTAGTCAATTTATGGTTTAATTTCTTTAAAAGTTCTTATTTGCTCTAATAGGGAGTTAATTGCACATAAGGGAGTTAATTGCACATTTTGTATATAACAAGTGGGTTAATTGCACTTAACCTTTAATAAAATAAAAGGATTGTATTGAGGCTATTGCCCTCTTCCTTATTTTTACAAAGATGAGTTTTTATTTACTATATATATATATATATTTCATTTTCTCTTTTTCATCTGCACTCTCTTCCCTTTCACACTATGTGAACAAACTTAAGGAAACCAAAATCAAGAACCCATTAGTTTGAACTCCAAAAAGGCGAAACAAATTAACTTAACAGCTTAAAACACTGGCAATATTTCATTTAAAGTAATAAAAAGATGGAAAAAAATAATTTATTTGTAGGAGCAAACACCAAAGGAGAGAAACAAAGACAACAATTTTGTCTTCACGGTGAAGGGGACCAGGGAGAGATCCGGTGAGTTACAATAATATTGGCCGGTTTGTGGTGTGCACCATCCTCATCAAACTCCAAAGCAGCATCTCAACAAACTCCAAATTTCGTCCAAAATTTCACCCCTTTCAATTTTCAAGTTTGTTTGTTCCATTACCAATTTAAGAACAATATTGGTGGTTTCGGCTTTGCAATTCTAAATTCCCTCCTTTCAATTTTAAACCATTAGTGAGAAATAGATGGTTTTAGCACGGCAGTTGACGCTTGAATAAGGCATTTGATGCTTGAACAATTGTTTGAGTGATCAAAAAATGAATTCTCAGTGCCAGTGTCGGATTGGCCTTTTGCAGCAATAATCCTACAACTCCGTATCTTGTGGCCTGATATAAATATTTTCAATATTAATTTAGGGTTAGGGAGAGCGTTTTTGTAGATAAGAGGACATATTAGTAATTTTGTCAAATTTGGAGTGCCAGAGGATAGTGTTTGAGAGCCAATATCAGCTCTCTTTTTATTTTATTTTATTATTATTCTTGAATAACGCAGCCATGTACATCTTACGTTTAAAAAACCTAGTAATGGTATGAACTAAGTCACACAATTCTTCTAAACGGTCGCTCACACACTTCGCACCATTTCCGCCCTCCGCTCACGCTCTTGCTCTCGTTCCTATTTTGTGTGACTTAGATTTTTCTGTTTTCGCGCTCCTATTCCAACTTTACATGACTTGAGGTGCGAAAAAACTCAGTATACAATTTGTCCTTTAAATCTCCTCTCACCTGTTGTTCATTGTAAACACTTTGACGGCATGAAATTTGATTTTTGGAATTGGAATTGGATAAAAAATAATTTAAAAAATTGAACCAAAATTTTTCTCCAATTTCACTAATTCCAATTCTAAGAATCTAATTTTATACCGCGAAACATAACCGTGGTTCATTTAAAATTTGATTTCTCCACCTAAAATGTATACAGTGAACGGCACAATTAGATTACAAATATATATTTTATGTATACTAACAATGTCATTAATTAGTACCCTATATCGATGTTCACAGTAATTATATAATTATAGTGTGAACCTAGTCTACTAAGTCGAATTTCATGCCAAACAAATTCATTCATTTCAGATGGAAAAGAATAATTTACAAGTGGGATTTGGTGGGATCTAATTACAGGAACGTTCCTAGTGGTGAGATGCGCGCACACACAGATTAAGATCATTATGTAATATCATATTAATATTTGCAAGATTACTAATATGAAAAATAAAAGCTGATTGTCTCCAATTTTTAATAAACCCCTTGGAGCTCAGACATAGAGGCCAAAAGTCTGCCATAGTTCAAACCCAAAAAATGTTCGACACTTGAAAAAACACAAATCCACTTGATGGCTGAATCTCCGCTTTTGAGGTCCCTGAAGATAAAAATCGAAGGCAACGAAGAAAAGATAAACGCTCTGAAGCCTTTCCAGAAGCCAGGGGTGAAAGAACTCCCCACCATTTGCAGGGTTCCATATGTGTTTCATAAAATGTGTGAATTTGCTTATTCTCCTAGCATTGTAGCTATTGGCCCTCTTCACAGAGGGAAGGAACATTTGCAATCAATGGAGGTGGTGAAGCTTAGCTACATGGATTTCCTGTTTCATCGAACAGGAAAGTATGAGCAAACACGAGATGATTGTGTGGCTGCCATGTTGAAAAAGGAGTCACTTGCTAGGAGATACTATGCAGACGATTTCAGACTCCATGAAGATGTCAAGCCAGCTGCCGAGTTAGAGAATTCAAAAACAACTGGAGATGGGAGCTGCAGCTCGGCAAATCAAAATGGAGAAAATGCGAGGTTCGCGGAAATGATGCTTATTGATGGTTGCTTTATGATTGACCTTTTTTACAGGTATTACCTAGAACAGAATGATGCCATTGTGGCGAATGCATTCAAACAAACAGCGGTTGAACATGACTTGCTAATGCTTGAGAACCAGCTTCCCTTTGTTGTTCTTGAGGAATTGTTCCGCCTCACTGTTGAACAGATCCCAGAAAATTGCAACTGCCCCCGGCCTTTATTGACTGAATGTGTCCTTTCATTCTTTGGGGATGTACTAAACCTAGAAGGTGCTAACTTGGAAAAAGATGGATGGCAAACCTACTGGTCATGTACTCCATCTTTTACACAGTTGTTACTTGCCAACTCCTGAGGAAGCAGAGAAGCCAAGGTCAAATGAAGAAAAAGAAGAGAGAGAGAAACAGAAGGAGGAGGTGTTAGAGAATTTCAAATATTCTGCAACAGAACTCGATTTGGGAGGAATAAAGTTCAGGCAAGGTAATAAAGATGACATATTCGACTTTGAGTTTAACCATACTTATCATTGTTATATATTTCGTTTTCTGTAGAAGAGGTGAATTTAAGATACCACCTCTCATGGTTAATGATTGCGTACACCGAGTTGTTGTTGAGGAACTTCATTGCTTTCGAGCGATCTTGCCCTTTGTTATTGGTTAATCCATACTTCACGTCATATGCTTTTCTCATGGATAGACTCATCAACACCCCAGACGATGTAAAATTGCTGGAGAAAGCAGGGATAATATGTAACCTCATGGGTTCCCGTCAAGAAGTGGCATCTCTCTTCCACAATCTTTGCAAGAATATTACTATAGATCGTCTCTACTCAACTAAGGAATGCCTAAAGGTCATCAAATTCCACAAGCATCGATGTCCAAGGTTTCAAGTAAAACTGAGACGTGATTATTTTAGTAATCCATGGACAATCATATCAGTTGGAGCAGCGTCCGTCCTATTTGTGCTTACATTGTTGCAGACCATCTACACCATATGTTCTCAGGGCCGGCCTGAGATTGAAAAATTCTTAAGAGGTCCTAGGTAAACTTTAAATGTGAGACCCTCTATATATAAGTTTCACACGCGTAATTGTTTTTTTTAAAGTAAATGTGATTGTCATGCATTTTAAGCTACAAAATTATTAATTAAAGTGCTCAAATCTACTTTCTCCAACACATCTTTTTCAATAGATTGAAGATGCAAGAAATTTTCTCTCTCTAAATTGACAGAGTTTCATTACACTTCAAAATTTTTGATTCCCTTTTTTCTTCATTTTTCACCTATTTATAGATTGTTTACAATGTTCTAGAAGATCCCTAACTAACTTCCTCCATTAGGCCCATCATCGAGGTTTTTGTATCCATCGATCCATTCGTCATTTAGGCCCTCATCTTCACTCTTTGGCATTGGGCTTGCCTCATGACAACTTGATTTAGGCTAATGTCATTTGCCTGGCCCATTCTTCATCATGTGGGTTAGATCCGGCCCACACTGATCTTCATCTTTTCAAGGTTAGTTTTGACTATTATTCTTAAAGTATTTGCACATTTTCCTAAAGACCATAATGGTCAACATCATGCCTATAGATTTGGATATTCTGCGTATGAAGCTCTATCTCCCTTCCAACATTCACCTTAGAGAATGTCCCAAAGACGTTAATGTTAGAACCGGTGCCGGTCTTCTTCCCGGCGAAGTCTTGTTTTTCCTTCATCACCTCAATATTATTAGATTCCATCTCCACCCTTTCTTTTGCTACGTGTTCAATAGGTTGAAACTTTTTCCTCTTCAAGTCAACCCCAATTTTCTTAGGGTTCTGTCCGTTCTGTTACTTCTGAATCGTGACAGAGGCCTAGATCTTGACTTAATTGATCTTATCCTTTGCTATAAGGTTAGCAAAATCAGGCTGGAGGATGCATATTACCATCTTTACCCCCTTGAAAAGAAATCCATTTGTACAGACAAGCTTAATTCTGAAAAGGGGTGGAAAAAGGGTATTGTTGGCATTCGGGGTGCTTGGTTTGCTCCGGCTGCCAAGGACTATCCTATCCCTACAGCCTTCAGCAAACACTCCGTGTCTTCATATAAAAAATTTAAAACCCATAAGGCAGATTGCCCTTGTGAAATTTGCATTCCTCGATTATGTTCGTTTCTTTGCAATTCTTTGGGTATCCCACATGATAATGAACTTAGTTATAACATTTGTAGGGATATGACCAATTATTTGAATGGGTACGTTCTGAACAACATCCCTTCCTGTTCGGAACTCCTCACATCTGAGAACTTAAGTGACATATCTCTCATCGGCACCACAATGAGCCAGCTTCAGATTCCATCCTTCAGCAGGAGGAAGGATCCTCCCAGGGTCAATACTGTTCCTGCAGCTTCTTCTTCTCCAACTTCGGCATCTTCATCTGCCACCACATCCAGCACTACCCCGAACGTGGTGACTGTTCGCCCGGTCGTCACTGTTCTACCTATTATCCAGAACTCCGTCCCTCAAGCTCGGAGTACCACTGCCCCCGTTGTATCTGATGAGCACTGAAAAGTGCGTATTTAAACCCCTTAAGCTTAGGCATTCTAGTACCTTTATCCATCTTACTTTACCGTTTTAGATTGATTTCGTGTTATTTCTATTTTCAGGCACTTATCCCAAAAATAAGCTAACTCAGCCAAATAAGAGCAGAAATGAAGCAATTCTGGGATGAATCAAAGAAATGAGCCAAGTGGAAGCAAAAGGAAGAAAAAGGTGGAAATTAACATCTTCGATCGATCTCAGATCAAAGTTCAATCTATCCAACATGATCGATCTCAGCACTTCAAGATAGATTAGAGCCATGATGACATTTTCAGAGATCTCAAAAGTTAGATCGATCCAATATCATTCTTCGATCGATCAAACTACCTTGTCCTTATCCAAATGATTGATCTTATCTAGTTATACCACCCTACCAACCATTTTTGTCCTTTTTCTCAAAAATATCTTCGAAATATCTCAGATTTGTTTTTATCCAAAAAGGCACTGCCATTGAGGATCGATCTAACTTCAATTCGATAGATCTCAGTTATGTTCGATCGATCTGTAATACCCTTAAATTTAAAAGGATAATTCTGATATTTTTTTATTAATTATTTTATTGCATTTTTAAATTGTTTAAGTGTGTATTTTCATTAATTGGTGTATTATTTGATTTTATCTGATTTTATTTGAACTACTTGATATTGTTTAATTTAATTGTTATTAGTTGATTTTATTTGAATTAAATGTTTTATTTTTAATTTTAATTTGATTGTTTTAATTGTTTATTTATTTATTTATGTTAATTAGTTTAATGTGTTTTAAATGCATTAATTGTAACTTAGGGTTTTAGGTTTTATCATAGCCGACATTGTTATAACCTAGGATTACCTATGGGCCGAGTGATATCTGTATGGACTTAGGGTTTCTGTAGAGTCTATATATATATGGTTTATACGTTGATTTAGGGTTACAAATAAAAACCATATTCACCATAATCACGTATACAGTGTGATAGAGAGAAAACAGAGAGAAAGATTGAGAGGAAATACATAGTGAACTTGAGTGATTCAATGAGGAGTTCGGGACTGAATTAGGAGCAGCAGAGGCTGTTTGATACAACCAAGGTAGCCAAAGAAGATAGATACAACAGTTGGGGGTTTTTAAACCAAAGTCTCAAGGCAAGTTCTGTTCTTCTCTCTCCCGTTAATTCGTGTTCTGTGCATGACGAATTGGACTCCAGGGACTTAATAAAGGCTAAAACAGTTGTAAACAAACATAACAACATGTTTTATGAATATACAAATCTGGTTTAGTACTCGTGAATTAACGGCTTTGCAAAACTTGTTGATATTTCTGCTATCTGTTCTTTGTGTAGTTTATGATTTAAGCTTGTCTTTAACTGAGAATTGTAGCACGTTTGGATGCCTTGTAGTAAATCTGGGATTGGGTTTAGACTCTAAAATAAGTCCACACAACAGTATTTGATTCCAAAAAAATTATTATGGGTTTCAATCTGTTAAAACTTGCTTAAAGATTTTTAACAGAGGTTTCGTGTTCGTGGCTTTAAAACTTAGATTCTAAATATGTTAGGGTTGAATCTAAGAGATGTAAAATTTATCTAGGACTGAGTTTAAACCTAGAACAAGGATTTAGGAACTCTACAGAGGCTCTGTTAATCACCGGAGTCGAAGAGGATGAAGCAGGAACGGACGACGGCAACTAAGGGGAGAAGAGCAGGCTCCAAAAGAGGAGGAGCCGGCTCCTCCTACCCTTAGAGCCGGCTCCTAAAGTGTGGAGCCTACTCTTGCATGCTAGGAGCCAGCTCTTAAGGGTCTTGGAGCCGGCTCTTGTTGAAGAAAGAGCAGGCTCTGTAATTTTCATGAGCCTGCTCTCACCTACAGTCTTCCAGTTTGGTTTTTGGGTGTTGTTTGACTTTGTAGGGTGTTTTTAATTTGTTTAACTTGGTTTAAAGGATGAATATGACTGTGGTGAACCTTTAAAACAATAGTGCCACATTAATTTGTAATTTATTTAAGACATGGAGTAACATACAGTTTAAGGAAACTAGTACTATTGCACACTGTTTTTGCTAGTTTTATGTACTGGAACTTAGCAAGGTTTTATATATGATTTAATAATATATAATCATATTTACACAGTATTATAAGTATGGTGAGTTAACTAAAATTAACTATACTTAGTTGGGATTTAATTGTTACTTGAATCGTTGTAATTTGTATTAATTTATTGGCTGTTTTGGAGGATTTAAATGCTATGTCTTATTCTAGCTATTTAAATGATTGGAGCATGATATTTAGGTTCTGTTGTGAATATCTAATGTTAGTATATGTATGAATTTATACAAATGCATATACTGGAGGATGGTTGTTGATTATATAGTGTTATTTTAATAACTATGTTATAATGGAGGATGGTGTGTACCGGTATGGGACGGTGACATACTAGGTATGGATTAGTCGAACACTAAATCCTACCTAATTTGGATTAAGGTATGGATTAACCCTATGAGTTAAGTCCATCACCTACTTGTGTCATATCAATCAAATAATTGAATGACTTAATATGGTTTCAGGATGGATTTGCTTTACATTTATCAAACCACTTTTCAGATGGTTGATATTTTGTAATTGGAGGACACGGACTTTATATATTTATTATATGTGCCATGGTATGAGCTTGAGTCTCAGGACCATGGTTAGGGTGCGTATACTGCCTAGGATAGATAGCTGGACAGAGGTGTTGCTCCCTGGTAGGTCTAGATACACATGACCACAGTATGTGCGATTTGCATGGTATCTCTATTCAGGCTGAGACAGACCTTTTTGGACTAGTGAGCGTCCTATAGTGTGTACTTATACATATATGAACTACTCTAGATATTGTTGAGTCTTTCTAGTATGTATCTGTGTATCGGATTCCTGTTTGGATTGTAGTAGATTAGGACTTGTATGTGGGCCTGACCCACCCTTATTTTTTTCAGGTACTCGTCAGTTCCAGGGTTAGAGTTTGATCGTGCAGAGCAGATACAGACTTCTATTCTACCGACAACGTAGGACTTCTTTCCAGATATTAGATTTGGATTTTATCTTCAGTTTTCTTCCATGCAGTTTGGGATTTTATTAGGGGTTCACTAGAGATGGATTCCCGAGTTGTTAAACTTATGGAGTTTGGATTGTCAAGATTTAAATATTTATATTTGAGGATTTATTTTAGTTTCTTTCTGCTCATTATATTATTTCTTTAATCACTCTGTATTCCGTGTTCGTTTTTAAAATATTAATTGTTTGATATCTCTCGGATTTGGGCCTGGGCCTGATCAACCCGTGTCTCGGATCCGAGGGGTATCACACGATCCAAGTCCAAGGTTCGATTGATCGAACTTCCTCCAGTGCGAAAAAGTTAAATTTCCAACTTATTAAAAACTATCTTAATCCAATCATTAGAGAATATTTTGTGCACGACCCCAGCTCATTTTGTGTGTCACTTGGCCTACCTATATATAGAAT